CCCGCAGAGCAGGGAGCCCGATGCGGGGCTCGATCCCAGGACCCTGAGATCATGACCTGAGCCGAAGGCAGATGCTTAATGACTGAGCCACTCAGGAGTCCCTGTTTTCCGTTTCTGGATAATGCCCTTTGATACACAGAAGTTTTAAATTTTGATTAAATTCAATATAGTGAGTTTTTCTTTTGTCGCCTGTGCTTTTGGTGTCATATCTAAGAATCCATTGCCAAATGAAGGTCATGAAGATTTGCCCTTATGTTTTCTTCTAAGAGTTTTATAGTTTTAGTTGTTGTACTTACATCATTGACCCATTTTGAGATAACTATTGTTTATTATGTGAGGTAGTGGGTCTATGAAATTTTTTTATTAAATATTTTTGTTAAATATTTTACGTATTTTGCTGCTCTCTACTTTATTTACTCAGTAAAATGTTTATGAAATTTATCCATGTCGATACATATGACACTAGTTTTTTCATTTATACCGCTTTATCATTTGAATGGCTTTTTACTAATTATTAATTTCGTCTCTCCAAATGGACCTCAACATGGCAATGAATTTTCTTCATCTTCTCTGATGCACATGAAGGAATTTTTCTAGGGTCTGCCATAGCATTTGCTGGTTCTTATGGTAAGAACATCTTCAAGTTAGATACTACTAAATTATTCTCTAAAGCCACTGTTCCCATTTTGCTCTCACTATTAATATCTGAGAGTGGTTCTTCGTTCTTGCCAATAATTGGTATAATTACTTTTGTATTTTTTGCTAATCTGATGGGTATAAATCTCATTGTCACTAACATATCTCTGTCCCTGATTACTAGTGAGATTGACCATTTTTCCACATATTTATTGATCACGTGGGTAATTCTGTGAATTGCCTATTCATGCATCTGTCATTTTAGTGGCATTTTAGAAGAGAATGGTAGTAAACATGGATGTTCAGTGCTCCATATTTAACTGGAAGTGCCTCCTACTCATTCTGCCTTCGGAGGCAAGTACTCAAGGCTTCCATTTATTAGGAAACCTTACCTGACCTTCCAGAGAAGTTCAGATTCCTTTTTCCCCTCAGTCTTTGCAACACCTATGTGGTTGCATATTTTTTTACAGCTTATTTCTCTCTCTTTGCCAGACTGTAAGTACAATGAGGAAAGGACCAATTTTGCTTACCATTATATCTTTAGCACCTAGCAGGGGTCTTGAACATCAAAGGTGCTAGTTAATATTTGTTGAGTTAATGAACAGAAGGGAAAATGAATGATGAATAAGGGGAGCTGATAGATAAGACATTCTGAAGAAGGATCCAAGGCATCTGAGGAGATGAAAGCATGGGGATGGGTATGAGATCTCAACACTTTTAAACTTTATTGTAGTTTACATTATCTATTGATATTTTCTTTCTTAATCTAAGTCAGTGGCTTTATTGATCATTATATTCTTCAGTAGCATGTAGTTGGTTTTCATTAAATAATTATTGGGTGAATGAAAATGAGATCTTTGACTTACAGATTTATTTCTTTATTTGAGAGAGAGAGCGTGAGCATGGAGGGGAGGGGCAGAGGAAGAGGGAGAGAGGATCTTTAAGCAGACTCTGCTCTGAGTCCAGAGCCCAACGTGGGGCTTACTCTCATGACCCTGAGATTATGACCTGAGCCAGAACCAAGAGTCAGACACTTAACCAACCACACTACCCAGGTGCCCCTGGGTATGTATGTATGTATTACTCATTTTTTCACAAAGGGGTGTCAGGTTAGGTATTTCCAAGATGCATCTCTTCTATTTTCTCTTATTCCTCTTATTATATTTGAATTGTGTAGTTTTGGGCTAGGTATTTATTTACTTATCACCAGACAGATATGCCATGTTTGGGTAGTGTATATTGCTGCTGAAGGCTCACCATAAAGTTGTTGAAGGTGATAGAGTGGGTTTCTAGAAGTATAGCTAATTCTTCTGTGGTGTCTAGTTAATATAAAATATAAAAATACCAACCAAAGACATCTATATAGAATTAAAGAAATACTTATGTGCAGTTGAATGAACTTAGTAAATAAAACTTAAACTAATGTCAGTGCCATCACCCAATAGCTAGCCTTTTTTGGACTTGATTATATATTTACTCATAGAGAAGTAGCATCAGTTGACATTTCTATAGGATTCTGACAATATGGCATATAAAAAATGTTGGTAGTACTTAGATTGCCCTATGGGAAAGCCTTGGATTTTTAGCTAAAATGGTGAAGAGGGAAAGTCCTTCAAATATTGCTCATAAGGATTCAGGTTTGTCAGGGATATACTCAATTTAAGTGTGCTTCAGACATGAGGATTATTTTTTTCATTAACACATATATTATGTTTTTCTGGAAGAATTAGAATCTCTATGCATTACCAGTCTTTCATAGATGATTTTTTTCTCAATTACTAAGTATTGGAAGTGAAAAAATTACAGGTGATTGATACTAAAGTCAGGATCAGATGAAAAAAATGATCTTGGTGATGATAGTGGTACTTTCATTTCAAGAAGAAATTAAAATTAGCAATTAGAACAAGCTTTATATCATCTTGGAAAAAAATGAGCAAAAGAGTCCTTTATGTGTTTCCCTTGGTAAACATGTCTATCTCTGTTAAAGGGCACAATTAGCAGATTAAGACTTTTGATAAATGCATAAACATGGATTTAACAACTGTCAAAACTGAATTTATAAAAGTTAAAATAATGGACAAGGGGGATGTGTTGAGAAGCAAAATTCAGTTCAGTAGAAATCTTTATTGAGCCCTGACTATATTTTAGGTACCTGTACTAGCCACTGGAGGATACAGAAATAAATGTTACTTGGTCTTCAAGAATCTCACAGTCAAGTAGATGAGAGTAATATAAACTAATAAATTGTAATGAGGACATAAATTGGGAAGGAATGGGTTTCTGAAATTTGATACAGGGGCATGTGGGAAGACCCTGATGAAGCTGGAGATACTGAACCCTTAAATGCATTCCTCATTTGGGTGTGTTACTCTGGCCCATTTACTGAGTGACTCAAAAAATGAGTTTTCACTGGGACCCGGAACATTTAATCTGCAATAGGTTCAGGTTTCTGTGCAAGTTGCTCTGTTGCTAGGGTCGTATGATCTAGCAGATCCAATGGTCTTTCAAGTGTCAGTGGTAGACAGGGATGCTGTTTAGAGCCTTTAGCAGGCCCCGATAGGTAAATCATAGTGCAGATCCTTAGGATTTAGACCAAAGCCTGCCCTTCTCTGCAGATAACTATGCCTTTATAAAGAAATAGCTGTTGGTTTGCTGCTGGGTCTTAGATTCTGCTTAACTGTGGGCCACCAAGTTACTATGTGACCTGAGCTGCCCAGTACTAAGTGGGTGGTTATCTGACCCACCAGGCCATAAAGTTGGGCATGCACAGCAGTACTCCATTGTCAAATGGAAGCACTATGTATCTAATCAGGCCTGAGCAGGCCCTGAAGACACAATGCATTGCAAGAGGAAGGGACTCAAATTCCCATAGTCCCTGCTCTGCTAGCATCATCCTTTTTCTGAGACTGCACCTATGGCTTCATGGGAAGTTCCCTAAGGTTAATTGACAGGAAGAAAAGACTCAGATGTGGTTTACAGATGGTTCTTCATGATATGCAGGTACCACCTGAAAGTGGGCAGCTGCAGCCCTGTGGCCCCTCTTTGGGGTATCCCTGAAGGACAGTGGTGAAGGCCAATCCTTTCAGTGGGGAGAACTTTAGGCAGTGCACCTGGTTGTTCACTTTGCTGAGAAGGAGAAGTGGCCAGATGGATGATTGTATTATTTCATAGGTTATGACCAATGAGTTGGCTGGATGGTCAGGGACTTGGGAGGAACATGATTGAAAAACTGGTAACAAGGAAATTTGGGGAAGAGGTATGTAGATAGACCTCTCTGGACAAAATATGTGAAGATGTTTGTGTTCCGTGTAAATGCTTACCAAAGAATGACCTCGGCAGAAGAGGATTTTAATAATCAAGGGAATAAGATGACCTATTTTGTGGATACCAGTCAGCCTCTTTCCCCAGCCAACCCTGTTATTGTCCAGTGAATTCATGCATAAAAATGGCCGTGCGGGCAGGGATGGAGTTTACACATGGGCTCAGCAATATAGACTTTCACTCATCAAGACCTGTGTGGTTACAGCCAATGCTGAGTGCCCAATCTGTCATCAGCAGAGAGTAACACTGAATTCCTTATATGACCCATTCCCTGGGGTGATTAGCTAGCTAACTAGAGGCAGGTGGATTATATTGGAGGGCCACCATCAAGGAAGTGGCAGTGATTTGTTGTTACTGGAAAAGACACTTACTCTAGATATGGATTTGCCTTCCCTACATGCAATGCTTCTGCCAAAACTACCAATCTGTGGGCTTACAGAATGCCTTATCCACCATTATGGTATTCCTTACAGCCTTGCTTCTTTTTTTTTTTTTTTTTTTTTATTTATTTGACAGAGAGAGACACAGCGAGAGAGGGAACACAAGCAGGGGGAGTGGGAGAGGGAGAAGCAGGCTTCCCGCTGAGCAGGGAGCCAGATGCGGGGCTCGATCCCAGGACCCTGGGATCATGACCTGAGCCGAAGGCAGACGCTTAACGACTGAGCCACCCAGGCGCCCCCAGACTTGCTTCTGATCAAGAAACTTATTTCAGAGCAAAAGAATTACAGCTTGTGGAATTCATTGGTCTTATGTTTCCTACCATCCTGAAGCAACTGGCTTGATAGAATGTTGGAATAGCCTTTTGAAGACTTAAGTTACAGTGCCAGCTAGGTGTGTCAGTTTCTTGCAGCACTGGGGCGAGGTTCTTAAGAAGGTTGTATATGCTCAGAATTAGTATCCAGTTTCTCCCATAGCCAGGATTCGTAATAGGTTCAGGAATCAAGGGGTGGGAATGGAAGTGACTCCATTCACTATGACTCCTACTGACCCATGAGCAAAATTTTTAGTGCCTATTTCCATGACTTTATGCTGTGCTGGCCTAGACAGAGTTCCAAAGGGAGGAACGCTTTTACCAGGAGACACAACGATTCCATTGAACTGGAAGTTCAGACGGCTGCACTGCCGGTTTGGACTCCTCATGCCACTGAATCAACAGGCAAAGCCACTGCTGGCCGGGATGACTGATCCTGACTACCAAGGGAGAAATTGGACTCCTACTTCACAATGGAGGTAAGGAAAAGTATGTCTGAAATACAGGAGATCCCTTAGGGCGTCTTAGTATTACCGTGCCCTCTGATTAAGGTCAATGGAAAACTAAAATAAGCCAGTTCAGGGAGGACTGCTGATGGCCTAGACCCTCAGGAATGAAGGTTTGAGTCAGCCCATCAAAGAGTCATGACCAGCTGAATTGCTTGCTGAAGACAAAAGAAATTCAGAATGGGTAGTGGAAGAAGGTAGTTCTAAATACCAGCTATAACCATGTGACCAGTTACAGAAACAAAGTCTGTAATAGTCATGAGTATTTCCTTTCAATTGTTATGAATATGTTTGTGTGTATGTATGCACACATATGTATGGCTACATATGTAAAATATCTTTGTTTTTTTCCCTCTCATTTCCTTATCATGTAGCATAAGATGCATTGAGTGTATACATAGTATTTTAAGTAGTGTTACTTTTCCATCATAGTATATAAAATTTGAGGTATCAGGAAGAGTAAACCTAATTCAAGGACTTCTCCTCCTCTTCTGAGGAAGAGGTTAGTATGTTTCCAGGTATACACAGGATAGTTGTATCATCTTAGTCATAATTAAGACCTTGTTATTGTCTTTATTTGGAGATTAAGTGTGGTTTAAGGAGATGTATACAGGTACTAAGTTGACTAGGGATGGACTTGCGATGGTTAATTTCATGTTTCAAATTGGGCCAAGGGTTTTTATTGTTTCCTGTCTCACCTTTAGATCTTTAATCCATTTTGAATTTATTTGTGTGTATGGTGTAATAAAGTGGTCCAGTTTCATTCTTTTGCAGTTTTCCCAAAACCATTTGTTGAAGAGGCTGTCATTTTCCCATTGGATATTCTTTCCTACTTTGTCGAAGATGAATTGATCATATAGTTAGGCATCCATTTCTGGGTTTTCCTTTCTGTTCCATTGATCTATGTGTCTGTTTTTGTGCCAGTACCATACTGTCTTGATCACTACAGCTTTGTAAGATAACTTGAAGTCTGGAATTGTGATGTCTCTAGCTTTGCTTTTCTTTTTCAAGTCACTTTGGCTATTTGGGGTTTTGAGATTCCATACAAATTTTAGGATTGTTTGTTGTAGTTCTGTGAAAAATGCTTTTGGTATTTTGATAGGGACTGCATTAAATGTGTAGATTGCTTTAGGTAGTATATGATATAGAGAACAAAGGTCAAAAACCGAAATGCAGATAAAATTAAATTTACTTATAACCTGCAGCCTATTGACAAATACTTCAGGCTGGCAGAGTATAACTTTCCTCCAGGAACTCCCAATCTTTTTTTTTAAAGATTGTATTTATTTGTATGTCAGAGAGAGAGAGAGTGAGCACAAGCAGGGGGAGCGGCAGGCAGAGGGAGAAGCAGGCTCCCTGCTGAGCAGGGAGCCCGATGAGGGACTCAATCCCAGGATGCTGGGATCATGACCTGAGCTGAAGGCAGACGCTAACCCACTGAGCCACCCAGGTATCCCCAGGAACTCCCAGTCTTAATGTTAATGCTTTGCTCGTGGGAAAAACAACCTTAGCTTGACAATAGGTAGGCCTCCAGGATCCTATGAGTCTTTAGCAGATGAAAATCTATTTGTAAACTTCCCTTTGTATTCACTTCCCCCAACTCCAAAGTATAATCAGTTGCTTCTCACAATCCAGGGGCAACTCTTTTCTGCCCTTGGGTCCTGTCCCTGTGCTTTAATAAAACCACCTTTTTGCACCAGAGATATCTCAAGAATTCTTTCTTGGCCATCAGCTCTGAACCCCAACATCTCCACATCAGTATAGACATTTTAACAATATTTGTTCTTCCAATCCATGAGGATGGAATGTCTTTCCATTATTTGGTGTCATCTTCATTTCTTTTCATCAGTGTTTTATAGTTTTTAAAGTACAGGTCTTTTAACTCTTTGGTTAGGTTTATTCCTCAGTATTTTATTATTTTTGGTGCAGTTGTAAATGGGATTGTTTTCTTAATTTCTCTTTCTGTTGCTTCATTTCTGGTGTATAGAAATGCAAAAATTTCTGTACATTGATTTTGAATCCTGAGACTTTACTGAATTTGTTTATCAGTTCTAGCAGTTTTTTGGTGAAGTCTTCCAGGTGTTCTGTATATAATATCATGTCATCTGCAGATAGTGAAAGTTTAACATTTTTCTTAATGATTTTGATGCCTTTTATTTCTTTTTGTTGTCTGATTGCTGTGGCCAGGACCTCCAGTACTATGTTGAATAGAAGTGGTGAGAGTAGACCTCCTTGTCTTGTTCCTGACCTTAGAGGAGAAGCTCTCAGTTTTTCCCTATTAAGGGTGATGATAGCTGTGGGTTTTTCATATATGGCCTTTATTATGTTGAGGTATATTTCCTCTAAACCTACTTTGTTGAGTGTTTATATTATGAATGGATGTTGTACTTTGTCAGATGCTTTTTCTGCATCTATTGGAAGGATCATGTGGTTCTTATTCTTTCTCTTACTGATGTGATGTATTAATTATGTTGATTGATTTGCAAATATTGAACCACCCTTGCAAACCAGGAATAAATCCCACTTGATCATGGGGAATGATTTTTTTAATGTATTGTTAGATTTGTTTTGCTAGTATTTTATTGAGGATTTTTGCATTTATATTCATCAGGAATATTGGCCTATAGTTCTTTTTTTGTGTTGTCTTTATCTGGTTTTGGTATCAGGGTAATGCTGGCCTCATAGAATGAATTTGGAAGTTGTCCTTCCTCTTGCATTTTTTGAAACAGTTTGAGAGAATAGGTATTAAGTCTTCTTTAAGTGTTTGGTCCAGTTCACCCATGAAACCATCTGATCCTTGACTTTTGTTTGTTGAGAGTTTTTTGATTACTGACTCAATTTCTTTGCTGATAATCAGTCTGTTCAAATTGTCTATTTCTTCCTGTTTCAGTTTGGGTAGGTTGTATGTTTTTTTTTGAATTTATGTTGGTATGTAGTTTTTCATACTATTTTCTAAAATTGTTTATATTTCTGTGGGGTTGCTTGTTATTTCTCGTCTCTCATTTGTGATTTTATTTATTTTTATTTATTTATTTTTTGGTCCTTTCTCTTTTTTTCTTGATAAGTCTGGATAGAAGTTTATCAATTTTATTGATGTTTTTAAAAAAGACTGCCCCTGCTTCCATTGATCTGTTCTATTTATTTTTTAGTTTTTATATCATTTATTTCTACTCTAAACTTTATTATTTCCTTTCCTCTGCTGGCTTTAGGTTGTTTGTTGTTCTTTTTGTAGCTCCTTTAGGTGAAAGGTTAGGTTGTTGATTTGAGATTTTTCTTGCATCTTGAGGTAGGCCTGTATTACTATAAACTTCCCTCTTAGAACTGCTTTTGCTGCATCCCAAATGTTTTGGACTGTTGTGTTTTCACTCTCATTTGTGTCCATGTACTTTTTTATTTCTTCTTTTATTTCCTGGTTGACCCATTCATTATGTAGTAGCATGTTCTTTAACCTCCATGTATTTGTGGTCTTTTCAGATTTTTTCTTGTGGTTGACTTCTAGTTTCATAATACTGTGGTTAGAAAAGATGCATGGTATGACCTTGATCTCTTTGAAATTGTTGAGGCTTGTTTTGTGGTTCAATATGTGATCTATTCTGGAAAATGTTCCATGTGTACTTGGAAAGAATCTGTGTGCTGCTGTTTTTGGATGGAATGTTCTGAATATATCTGTTAAATGCTTCTGGTCCAGGGTGTCATTCAAAGCCATTCTTTCCTTGTTGATTTTCTGTTTAGGTGATCTGTACATTGATGTAAGTGGGGTGTTAAGGTCCCCTACTATTATTGTATTATTATCAATTAATTCCTTTATGTTTGTTATTAACTGTTTTATGTATTTAGGTGCTCCCATATTGGGTGCATAAATATTTACAATTGTTATATCTTCTTGTTGGATTGTCCCTTTTATTATTGTATGGTGTCCTTCTTTGTCTCTTGTTATAATTGTTCTTTTAATGTCTGTTTTGTCTGATATAAGTATTGCCACTATGTCTTTTTTTGATATGCATTTGCATGGTACATGTTTCTCCATCCCCTCACTTTCAGTTTGCACGTGTCTTTAGGTCTAAAATGAGTCTCTTGTAGGCAGCATCTAGATGGGCCTTTTTTTTTTTTTTTAAATCCATTCTGTCACTCTGTATCTTTTGTTTGGAGCATGTACTCCATTTACATTCAAACTAATTATTGATAGATATGTATTTGTAGCCATTTTACTTGTTTTTTGGTTGTTTCTGAAGATTTTCTCCAATCCTTTCTTGTCTTTCTCTCTTTCATAGTTTGCTGGTTTTCTTTAGTGATATATTTGGATTTCTTTCTGTTTATTCTTTGCATACTTATTAGTGGTTTTTGATTTGTGGTTACCATTAGGTTTGCATATAACATCTTCGGCATATAGCAGTCTATTTTAAGTTCGTTAAGTTTGAACACATTCTTTACTCTTCTCCTCCCCACGTTTTAGGTAATATGTTTTCATATTTTGCATCCTTTAATTTTATGAGTTCCTTGACTGATTTTTTACAGAAATATTCCTTTTTACAAATTTTGTGTTTTCTGCCTTTACACTGTCATTTTTGAGCTTTCCTTTCAACTCAAAGACTCCCCTTTAATATTTCTTGCAGGGCTGGTTTTGTGGTCATGAACTTTTTTTTCATTTATGTTTGTCTGGGAAACTCTCTATCTCTCTTTCTATTCTGAATGATGGCCTTGCTGGATAGTTTTCTTGGCTGCAGGTTTTTCCCTTTGAGTACTTTAAATATAGCATGCCACTTCTTTCTGGCTTGGAAAATTTCTGCGAAAAATTTGCTGATAACCTTATGGGGTTTCCCTTATATGTAACTGTCTTCTTTTGCCTTGCTGCTTTTAATATTTTCTCTTTATTACTATATTTTGGCATTTTAATTATAGTATGTGTTGATGTGGATTTGCTTTTTTGGTTTTGTTGGGAGTTTTCTATGCCTCCTGGATCTGGATATCTGTTT